AAAAAAAAAAAAAAAAAAAAAAAAAAATTAACAATAATTATAAACTAATTTAAATTTAATACTATAATAATAGTAATAATCAAATTGTAAACAAAAAGGAGAAAAAAAAATTTAACTGCTAATTTATGCCTTTCTTTATAAAAGAAAAAATTATTTTTAATTTAATTGTTTATATTTGTTTGTTTGTTTTGTTTCAATTTTTTTGTTTCATGTTTAAAAATTGTTCACTTTTTAAAAGTAGACGGTAAACTGGTTTGCGAAATGATTTAAAAATGATTTAAAAATGATTTAAAGGAGAAAAAAAAAAGAGCTGGGAAAAAAAAAAAATTCGATAATCAAGAAAAAAAAACTAATTACAAATAAAAACGAAATTTATATTACAAATTAAAAAAAAAAAGGGGGAAGGAAAATAAACGCGTATAATTGTATAATTCGGATATAATTGTATAATTTAGATATACTGTAATTGTATAATTTGAATGTATCATTTGGATATAATTGTACCATTGGATTATTTGGATTGATAAATATAAAACTCGCTACAAAAAAAAAAAAAATAATTTTTTATAAATCCAAAGAGAATCAACCTGTTATACTAACATAATTATTCGTTGGTTGAAATTCGGTTCGTTGTTGTTGACCACTTCTCATTAAATGTGAACTATTGTCTAATTCAACATGACGTTGAAAATTATAAGAAGAAGGTAAAGGTAATTTCATTGATTGAGGTGACAATATCGGAGGAGCCAAAGTACGAATTGGAGGTAACACCACTTGTTCAGATTCAGAAATTATTGAACGTACAGGAGGTAAAGAAGTATTATTTCCATCCGAAATAAAATTATAACCACCAACAGATGTTGAAGTTGGAGTGGTTAAAGGTGTCGGAGGTAACATTAAAGTAAGATTTGTATTACAAGTGATATTATTATTATTATTATTAACATTATTATTATTATTATTATGATTATTAATATATTGTCCTTCAACACGTTCCGAACAATTATTATTAGATATTCGTTTGACTCTTTTTGAGTAAGGTTCTTGTAAAATTGGAGTATTATGAGTGGATTGATGATTAACAGATTTTGAACCCCTACGACTTTTTACAGATAAGTGAGTACGATAATGTTGCATCATATTATCTTGTCTTGAAAATTTTGATGTACATCCGGGCATTAAACATTGGAAATTCTTTTCACCCGTATGTATTCTATTATGTCTAGCCAAATGTCCACTAATTTTCATTATTTAAATTATTGTTGTGATCAACCAATGATAATTAGGTAATCATTTCCAATATTATAAAATTATAAGCGATCAAAGAAAAAAAAAAAAGAAAAAAAAGAAAAAAATTTAATTAATTTCGGATCGGATAAAAAGGACAAAAAAGAAATAATAGAATTTTCATAGAAAAATGATCGAACCAAAAATAATAAATAACCGATAAAAAAAAAAAAAAAAAAAAAAAAAAGTTACCTTGTAGTAAAACCTTTTCCACAATTAGGGAAAGTACAAATATATTTACGTTTATTACCAGATACAGAATTTGTTGTGGAAGGATTATTTTGTTTTTTACGTTGTACAAAAGTATCATCGGAGATTGAAAGTTTTCTTTCAGTAAAAGAATCTTGTAAATTCACGGAGGAAGAGGAATCATCATCATCATTCAACAAACTTACTATAACACCGTCAGATTTTTTTACAAGTAAAGTAGATCTCTTTTTCATAGTACGATAATAACCAGGAGGGGTTAAAGGAGGAGTGGGACCAGAAGATTTTTGAAAAGATTTATCATTAGAAAGAGATACAGAAGGTTGAAGTTGATGAAGTGAAGTAGAAGTTGCAACGGTAGGACTCGTTGTGTTTGAAGAAGTAGAAGGAAACATTGGTAAATAATGATGTTGTTGAGAACCATCAGGGTATAATACAATATCTTGTGGAGTTTGAATCAAAGATGATGACAAATTTGATTGTGAATTTAATTGAAAATATGAAGAATAATTTGAAGAAGAAGAGGAAGAAGAGGAAGAAGAAGAGGAAGAACAAGAAGAAAGTTGTGGCGCAGCCGAATATTCATCATAACGAGGTGGATGAGATGAATAAGATGAAGACATTTTTGAAGGTAAAATATAATTTTGATGATGATGATGTTGAGAGCTAGGTGACGTAGATCCAAAAGAATCGTGTTCTTCTCGTGAAATAAGTTGAGACGAAGTATTATTAATATTACTTTGTTGATGATTTTGAAATTTTAATTGAGCGAATTCAAAATTCAATCGATGATACATTGAAATGTTTTCCGATGGAGATATAAGAGATAAATTTTGTTGTTGTTGACGATGTTCCATCAATGATATCAAGTATTTTTTTTTTTTTTTAAAAAAAAAA